TTTTTCTTTTGAGACGAGTCTCTGGCTCTGTCGCCCGGCTGGAGGGCTGCTGGCCGGATCTCAGCTCACACTGCAGAGGCTCCCTCCGGGTTCACCGCGATCTCTGCGCCTCAGCCTCCCAGTAGCTGGAACTACAGCGCCCGCACAGCTCGCCCGGCCTAGTTTTTTGTTATTTTTAGTAGAAGGGACGGGGTTTCACCGTGATGGCGCAGGATGCGTCGATCTGGCTGACCTCTGATCCAGCCTGTCTCGGCCTCACCAAGTGCTGGGATTACAGGCTTGGAGCCGCCCGCGCCCGGCCACTTTTTCTTTTTTAATTAGACTTTTAAAAAAGACAAGTTTTGAGGCCGTCGGGTGGGCTTCCACTCCTATCAATCGCGCAGCAATTGAGAGGCCGAGGCCAGCGAAAGTCACCTGAGGTCAGGCTGTTCAGACCAGAGCGCTGGGCCCAACATGGTGAAACCTCCTCTCTACTAAAAATACAAAAATCTGCTGGGTGTGGTGGCACGCGCCTGTAATCCCAGCTACTCTGGAGGCTGAGGCAGGAGAATTGCTTGAACCCAGGAGGTGGAGGTTGCAGTGAGCCGAGATCACACCACTGCACTCCAGCCTGGGCAACAAGAGTGAGACTCCATCTCAAAAATTTTAAAAAGAGCAGTTTTAGATTTACAGAAAAATTGAGAAGATAGATAGTAGAGTTCCCACAGTTTCTCCTGTTAAGATCTTAAACTGATGTCGTATATTTGTTACTTTTTTTTTTTTTTTTTGACAGAGTCTCGCTCTGTTGCCAGGCTGGAGTGCAGTGGCACGATCTCGGCTCACTGCAACCTCCACCTCCCGGGTTCAAGCAATTCTCCTGCCTCAGTTTCCCGAGTAGCTGGGACTACAGGCACGCACCACCACACTTGGCTAATTTTTGTATTTTTAGTAGAAACGGGGTTTCACCATGTTAGCCAGGATGGTCTCGATCTCTTGACCTCGTGATCCACCCACCTTGGCCTCCCAAAGTGCTGGGATTACAGGCGTGAGCCACCGTGCACGGCCTATTTGTTACAATTAATGACCCAATTCCATGATCACATAACCTTTGTTAACATCAACCAAAGTCCATGCTTGAGTCAGATTTACAGTTTTCCCCTCACGCCCCTTTTCTATTCCAGGATCCCACGACACAGTTTGCTGTCACCTCTCCTTACAGAGTCTGAACGGTGCCGAACTGTCAGCACCATCTGTCCGGTGAGTGACGGCTGTGGACTTAGTGTCCTGTTGAATGTGGAGAATCAAAGCAGAGTGAAGGGGGACTGAGTCCAGTCCTGGGCCCTGTGTAGAGAGTGAGGTGGGAGGTGGTCATGCGTTCTTTGTCCCCCCAGAGGAAGGGCAGCAGATGGGGCCTCGCCTGGGTGCCCTGGTCTTTCTTTTTTCTCTCTCCTTTTTTTTTTTTTTTTGTCTTATCTATTTCAAGGTGCTTGTGTGTTTTTTTTAATCCTGGGTAAAATACACGTGACACTTATCACTGTAACCATTTGTAAATGTGATGCAACCACCGTCACTATCTCCACCTAGAACATTTTCATCATCCCCAACACAACCTCTGCACCCGTCAAACAATCACCCTCCCTTCGCCACTCACCCCAGCCCCTGGCAGCCTCTGTTCTACTTTCTCTCTCTATGAATTTGCCAGACAGAGAGGGGCGTTCGAGAGTCCCAGGTGCCTCATCGTGGAAGTGGAATCACACAGCATTTGTCCTTTTGTCTCTGGCTTGTTTCACTTGGCATCATGTCCTGAGGGTTCATCCGTGTTGTAACGTGCCAGAATTCGTTTCTCTTATGGCTGAGTAAATATTCTAGTGTGTGTATGAGCCTATCGTGTGTGTCCATCCATCCGCAGACACATGGGCTACCTGCCTCCACCTTTTGACTTGTGAATGGTGCAGCAGTGAGCATGGGTGTGCAAGCATCTGTTTTGTTGTTGTTGTTTTATTTTTTAAATAGAAACAGGGCTGGAGCCCAGGCTGGTCTTAACCTCCTGGACTCAATTGTCCTCTTGCCTCAGCCTCCCGAAGTGCTGGGATATGAGAGGCGTGAGCCACTGCACCCAGCCCAAGCAACTCTCTGTTTCCTTTTTTTTCTTTTGTATGTGCCTATGGAGGAGACATGGCCAAGCGGCTGCCCACAGGGCTGGTGCCTGTGTTTTTGTGTAATTCTTCCTGGGCTTCTCTGAGGGAGCAGAGCACCCCGCCTGGAGGGGACAGGGTCAGCAGGGTTCGCTGGACCCCACAGCATCCGAGCCTGAACCGACGCCTCTCTCCTTGCTTTGCCAGGTCCCAGCATGCCTTCTGAGACCCCCCAGGCAGAAGTGGGGCCCACAGGCTGCCCCCACCTCTCAGGGCCACATTCGGCACAGGGGAGCCTGGAGAAGGGGCTCCCAGGGGATAAGGAAGCCAAGGAGCCCCTGTGGATCCGGCCCGATGCCCCGAGCAGGTGCACCTGGCAGCTGGGCCGACCTGCCTCTGAGTCCCCGCATCACCACACTGTCCCGTAAGTCCTGCTTTTGATCACAAGAGGGTTGATCTGTAACCTGCAGGGCAGGAGTTTGTTACCTGGATACCACACAGCCAGGAGGACATGAGGTGTGGCCCCCCTGTAGTCACTCTGGGTTGAGGAGCTGGGGGTGGGGGCATGCTTTGTAGATGAGGCTCTGAGGCCAAGGCTTCCTTATGCTGCAGCCCAGCGCCTAGGCCAGCACCTGGCAAGACAGTGGATGCTCACGAGGTATTTCCGGGAGCTGGAATGCAGTGGCGCAATCATGGCTTGCTGCAGCCTCAATCTCCCCCGATTAAGGGATCCTCCCACCTCAGCCCCCCAAGTAGCTGGGACTATGGGCGCCCACTGTCACGCCCAGCTAATTTTTGTATTTTTAGGAGAGACAGGGTTTCACCATGTTGACCAGGCTGGTCTTGAACTCCTGGGTTCAAGTGACCACCTGCCTTGGCCTCCCACAAGTGCTGGGATTACAGGCGTGAGCCACCGCGCCCGGCCCGGCCTGCACTTTTCTGTTAACTCTAGGTCATGGAGACTTCCCCTAGGCATTGAACATTTTTCCATAGTGGGCTGTTTTTCTGGTGGCACAGACTGTTTGGTGAAGAAGCCATCATTTTGTAAGCCCTCTACTGGGTAGATAAACGTTTGCAGTTATCTCATTTTAAATAACTGCAGTAGAAAATACTACACATTCATTTAGCCAACGAGTCTTTCCTGAGTGCCTTGTGCATTTGTGCCCTGCTCAAGGTGCAGAAGCTCTATCAGCGGAAAAGACAAATAAACAAAAATCCCTACCCCAGCACGAAACTGAAATCAAGCTCACTAAGCTTTAGGATTATATTTATTTCCTTAGTGTAATCTCCTTGGAGGAGAACAGATAGATCAAAGAATGTGCTTCTTAGATGTTTGATTCCTTTTTTTGTTTTGTTTTGTTTTGTTTTGTTTTGTTTTTTTGGAGACAGAGTCTCGCTGTCGCCAGGCTGGAGTGCTAGTCGCACAATCTCAGCTCACTGCAACTTCTGCCTCCCGGGTTCAAGAGATTCTCCTACCTCAGCCTCCCTAGTAGCTGGGATTACAGGCATGTGCCAGCACGCCCAGTGGGTTTTTGTATTTTTAGTAGAGATGGGATTTCACCATGTTGTCCAGGCTGGTCTTGAACTCCTGACCTCCGGTGATCTGCCTGCCTCGGCCTCCCGAAGTGCGGGGATTATGATTCCTATTTTGTGTACACCACTACCAGCATTTATGGTTGTTGATCTACAGTTCAGAATGGGTGGGGTGGCTGGGTGGAGCCACTCTCAGTGCAGCAATAGAAGAAGTGACAGTTGACAAACCCAGAAGGTCTGAGAGTTGAACACAGTCAGTGCTGGGAGCTCAGGAGGCCAAGCAGATGGGTGGGCAGCCAGGAGGATGGGCTCTTGCCCCCAAAACAAACCTGAGAGAGCAGTGGGTGAGAGGCCCGGTGAGGTCGGGAGTGGCTGCTGGGGGTAGGGTGGGCAGGGAAGACAGGCCGGATTCCTGAGGGCTCTGTGAGCTCTTAACTCTAGGGCGTGAGATGGAGACAGTGCCCTCCAGGTTGTAAAATGGTGTTGCACCTGCACCTCACACAGGCCTCATTCATCCTCCGAAGACACCCCCATCCTGAGATGCAGAGCCTATGCCGCTTGTCTCCAGTCAGAGGGCCCCCGAGAATAGCAGGGTTGCAGGGAGGTGCTGCAGAGGTGGGTGAGGCGTTGGGGCTTCATTCTAGGACAGTGTGGGGTGTCCTCCCAGGAGCCTCTTGGGCTGTGGAAGTGGGAGTCCTTGAGATAAGGGGCTCCAGAGCTATCCCTGCAAGTCGGATCCTTTATCTTGCTAAGTGCTCTGGGCCTGGCCCTGACCACCTCTAGAAACTTCTCAGGTAACTTCACAGCCACGGAGGCCCAGTGCTAAGTCAACACACCTGCTGCAGGGAGGCGGGCCTCTTCCTGCCTGGCTGGCCGGATGCCTGAACTGAGCTAATGAACTAACCCCCAGCGCTGTCACCCGAGGGCTTGACTTTCCACCTGGCCCTGGCTCTCTGCACCCTGCCAAGCCTGGTTCCCTTCCACCAAGAACTGCTTCTGGGGGAGCCTCCCTGGTCCCTGTACAGTTTGGGCACCTGGCAGGACTGCCCTCTGTTCCCTGGGATGGGCGCGATTGGACTCCTCTCGGCGCCTGTTTGGGCCTTCGGGGCGGCTCTCGCTGCAAATGTGGCACTCCCTCCATGCCACAGGACCTCCGGGAGCTGGGTGCACCCCAGGTCTGAGGATCGCTTCCGGGGGGGCAGGGCCCAAGGAGCCTGGCTGTTTCACAGGTGCCTGTGCTGAGGAGGAGGCTCAGGGTCAGAGCCACGGGGTGTCACTGGAACTGCACGGCCAGGGAGGGGTTGCAGGTCTGGACACCGCTGTGAACCATGCGTGTTCCCAGATGAGTTCGTGGTTAGCCTGTGCTTGGCACAGATAGAAAGGGAGTGTCATCGGCCTCTCCCTGGGGGAGGATGGCAGGGGCATGAGGGCCGTTTAGGAAACCACCTGGACCAGGGTTTGAGGGTTTGCACAGCCAGATGCTGCAGGGCAGAGCATCACAAGCCCAGCTGACAGCGCCTCTGCCCGGGCTCTGTGTCCGCCACGTGCCTGACATTTTCTGTGCAGGGCTAGGCATCCCGCCTGCGCTTTGCAGCCGTTGTCCCTGGTCTAAGGAGTCTCTGCCCTGAGGTCAGCACTTCATTTTTTGTCTCCTGTGGTCAGAAGCTGAGAGATGAAAGGCAATGAAATTCCCCAGTAAAGCCTTTCTGAAAAGATAGACCTAAATCTTTGTTTTGGAGTCAGTATTTGCTTATTTTAACTTTTTTATTTGGAAATAACTTACTACTCACAAGAAGTTGCCAAAATAATAGGTCCTTTGTACCCTTCTCCCAGCTTCCCACTAACAACGTCTGCCACGACTGTAGGTTCATTTTCAAACCTGGGAAACTGATATTGGTACAAATAAACTACAGGCATTATTTGCTTTTTATAGGTTTTTAGGTCTAAGCATGTGTGTGTGTTTTTCAGGCATGTGTGTGTGGTGTGTGTGTTTCAGGCATGTGTGTGTGGTGTGTGTGTTTCAGGCGTGTGTGTGTGTGTTTCAGGCATATGTGTAGTGTGTGTTTCAGGCGTGTGTATGGTGTGTGTGTTTCAGGCGTGTGTGTGTGGTGTGTGTGTTTCAGGCATGTGTGTGTGGTGTGTGTGTGTTTCAGGCACGTGTGTGTGGTGTGTGTGTTTCAGGCATGTGTGTGTGGTGTGTGTGTGTTTCAGGCGCGTGTGTGTGGTGTGTGTGTGTTTCAGGAGTGTGTGTGTGGTGTGTGTTTCAGGCATGTGTGTGTGGTGTGTGTGTGTTTCAGGCATATGTGTAGTGTGTGTTTCAGGCATGTGTGTGTGGTGTGTGTGTGTTTCGTCAGCCCCCGAGAGCTGGACTACCAGCGACGCCGCTCACCCGCGCCGGTAGTTTTGTTTGTATTTTAGAGACGGTGGTTTCAGCCGTATAGCCAGGATGGTCTGATCTGCTGACCTCCGTGATCCGCCCCCTCAAGCCCCAAAGTGGGCTGGGATTTAGCCAGGCATGAGCCACCGTGCCCAGTCTGCACTTCTTTTCTGATTGCAGGTTCGCTCCCTCCGCTCTCCAGCCTTCTTAAAAATATTTAGTTTTGAAGATGAGTAGAGAGAGAGGAGAGAGAGAGAAGAGACTGGGGCTACATGAAAGTATGATTTGAGGGGACCTGGGACCCAGCCCGGCGAACACCTCAAAACTTTGAAAGCCCACCACCAGACAAGTGTGGCCCAGAATCCAGGCGAGGTGCTAGTGGTGGGGAGACGTTCCGGGGGTCTGGCCCGCCGCAGGTCTGCATGTCCCAGGGATCCCTCTGGGTCCCATACTGGAGAGCCTCTCAGTGAGATCTTTCTCTCACAGCCGCCTGGGGCCAGCCGCCGTAAGTGCGAGAATATCAGACTAGGTGGCCTCGGGCAAGCCACCGGGATCCGACCTGCATCCCCTCGTGTGTCGTGTCTGTAAAACGGGCGTCCAAACCACTTCGAGGGCAACGTGCCTAGATTTAGGACAGCCGTCCTTGACGTAGCCAGCTGCGGGGCAGCCAGCTGCGCGATCCAAGGGTCCTGTACTGTCTGACAAAGGAGCACCAAGCCGCCCTGCATGCATTGGGGGGTCTCTGCAAAAAGGGCTGCTCGATGCGCTCTGAGAATTCCGTCCCGAAGGGTGGCAGAGGAGGGCCAGGCGTCCCAGCAGGCCCCTCCATGTGAATCTGGCCATCGAGTTCCGCGAAGCACGTGACCCCTGACGTTCCTTGGCCCCCAGCGCCTTCCCAGGCTCTCATACAGCGGCCCCGCCGCCTGTGACATTGACAGGCATTTGCAGGACTGAAAAAGTTCCCAAGCCGATGTTCTGGTCCGGCCGCGGCCGTGCCCACTCAAACCGCCACCCCCTCCATCGTGGCCTGTCTCAGGGTATCCTCCACCGGCACCTGGCTGCCGCCGCTCCGAATCTCCTTGGCCGTCGGGTCATCTGAAATATGAAATTCGCCGTCGCCCGCCCTGTCCCCAAGGCCTGCTGCAACCCACGGCTTTCTCGCGTGACGATGCTGAGGTCTACCAGGCCCTGAGCTTCGCTAGGGAAAGAGCGACCCTAGGAATATTCTTCCACCCTCTGGAGCCTGGAAACTGCGTCTACAAGAACTGCCCCTTCCCCGGACGGGCTTCACACCGAGCCGGTCAGGTGACCCCCGTGGTACCCAGGACGGGCCGAGCCACAGAACCCGCCAAATTTCCACTTCTCTGTCTCATAGAATGATGAGCTGAACTGTTCTGTCCCCACGAAGATGCAAACGGAGAGGCCAACCGCTCCGCTGGGCAGGTGGTGCTCACAAGCTCGTGCTAGGACCGTCGCGTCTCTCTATGAGGGCAGGACGCAGACGCCTCACCACCGCTTGCTCTGCCTTTGACCCTCACCGCCGCTCTCACACCGCTCGCTCCTCCACTCCAGCCTCTAGTTCAAGGTCACGCTGTGTTTTTTCCCTGTCCATCGCGGGGGAAGCCACTGTTGGTCACCGTCTGATGCACAACGCCTCTGTTGGGTGTGTTTTCCGCAAACTTAAACTGAGTGGACCTCGCCGAACGTATTGAACCAGCATGTTGTTCGTTGATCCCGGCTGGCCCGTTAAAAGACCTCCGAGGG